GGAGATTGAAAGGCTCTTAAAAGGTATTATTTTGAATTATTAAATAAAGTATAATGAAAAAGTTTGAGCATATGATTTGGCCTAATGCATGTTTTCAGGGGTGATGCCCTAAATGCATAATGCTCAAATTTTCGAGCTTAATTTATCTGACCCTATTGGTAACACCATACTTGAGAACCTGGGTTTTTTTTAAAGCTAACATAATAAGTTCATATACCAGAATTTTGGGTTAACTATTGATAGTATAGGCTTCAGAATTTCTTAAACAAATTTTTAGCACATCGTTTTTTAAAGATATTTTTAATTAAAGTCAAATGAACAAGTTCTGATAACATTTTTAAAATACCAACCAGCTCTAAGAACCTACCACTGAGCTTTGTTGTATTGAACTAAATGTAAGTGTTCTCATTCATTTTATTAGATCAAGTGAGAATAATGTTTACAGAGCGCTTATCTCAAGAATAAATTCTGCAATCAAGGAAGGAGGATTTACAACTGCTGAGAAAGGGGTATCAGTGGCAATCAATTGATGTTTTGTTAAACTATCTTGCGTTTGTATCACTAAATTTTTACACACTTCCCTATTTCAAGATTTACTTTCAGGGGAGTGAAACAGTTTTGATTATGAGATAGGCTGGTTGAAAGAAAACTTTGTGAAAAGGCAGAGAGAACCTCTTGAGACAGACTTAGAGGAGGTAACTGCCGGAGATGCAGGCTTGTGTAGACAAGAAAATTATCTTACAGTTTTGTCTGAAAATCAAAACCTAAAGTTTTTCTGAAGATAGAAATGCAACGGCTTGGACAAACAGGACTGTCTGCTGTAAATTCCAAGTGGGTTCTCCCAGATTCCAAGAAAATCCCGAGGTATACCTTACTTGCCTTTTGCAAGGACAAACTGGAAATTTCCGGTAGTTTTCTGTATTAATGATAGCAGTCTTGTTTTTTGTTTTTCGATGCAGTGCATTTACAATTAAATACACTTCCTAAGGACGTGGCCTCAATGTGGGAGGGCAGACACTCATGGGGCTGGAGATAATTGGATGTTATTGTGTTGACATGCGTCCTGAGAACGTTAAAGTGACAATAAGACGGTTTCTTATATTATTTTCTCAGCTTGAGAACAGAACAATTCTCAGAATAGTTCTTCATGGTCTTGGCTCGCCACTGTGGGGAGAAGAGCAACACTTCGGCAATGAAATAAGCCCCACCCTGACCAGATTTTTGTTCCAGTTACGTGCCACACTCCGCTCTGCTTTGGCAGTCTGCTTTGTTACTGTTCCTACCCAACTGTTTCAGGTAACAGAGAACAAAAAAACAACAACAACAACAACAACAACATCTAAACTTTGTGTAAAATGATGTCTGCAGAATAATAAGTACAGATTGTTCATGTAAGATATGTATCATAAAAGGACACAGTGCGCCTTAAAACTCTTATGAGAGAGGAGTCCCGAAAACAACGTCATACATCATATCCAGGCTAGATGCGTAAATGACCGAATTTGTGTTCCCAGGCGCTGACTCGGAAAGTTACTTCCGAGGGACTTTAAAGGAAACCCTCCTTACTATTACGCTAGAGTTCCATTCTTATTCTTTCGTGCCGCAGAAACAGACCAGGTGAACTCCGGCAATTTGGACCATTTTAACCAGTACGAACATTAAATTAATCTACAGGGGAAAATGAAGTGTGGAATCCTAGAGAAAACGATATCTTCCGAACATTATTTCCAAATAACGATATCAGTGCATTTTGATAACTACCCCGTAGGACCCAGCCCTCACTCGGCGAGTAGAGAGACTTTGTGACACGGTGGTCAAACTGGAGTCATTTGCTGGGTCTGATAATGAAACGAACCCAGTTTACAAAGATTACCATGGTGAGCTCTTTTACTTTTATTAATTTTCGACAGCGCGATGGAATTAGCGAGGTCACCGAGTATTCCTTGAAATACGTTATCTTAGCCCTCTACACTCTATCATCAGTATGTATATTCTCCATACTGTGATCTATACATTTCCAAAGGTGCTGACAAGGAGAATTTGTTTAACAGTCCAGAGCTTCTTTAGTTGATGATCGTTTCCTTTATTCTTGTGACCTTAATGTATGAATCAGGGGTGACATTGTAAGGAGAAATTAGATGCTGGTCACCTTTAGTGCTCAAAGGGTGTACGGATGTAAAGATTAGAGCCTGATAGCGAACAGTTGTTTGGCCTTGTGAGGGCAAGTAAACATGAGCGAGGAAAGGTGTAACCAGTGTCTATTGGAGGGAAACTTGTTTTGTACACGAAACTGCAACGAATGTCCTTTTGAGGCAAATCATGGGAAAATATTTGTATTGAAGTCAACTACACGCGGCTGTGAACATGAACAGAAGCTTATAACCTTCATAAGCTTCTGATTTAAATCAATGCACCTCTTTAGTAAAGTGGAGTTTATTTAGTTTGATAAATTGACATCTTTTGAATTACAGGTCTCTTTCATATTGTTCGCCTGCCTCGCTTAAACTCCCTCGTTTGTCACGTGCCTGATTCCTTCGACCTCGCTTTTAAATTGAGGCGAAAGAAGATGACTATCGAGGTAGGTCTTTAATAGACTTCTTGAAGTTTGTTTATGTTTTCTTTTTTCGTGCGGTTCTTCAAGTGTTTGGTCGTTTTTGAGTGAGTTTCTTTATGGTGCGCTCCTACAAGCACGGAGGAAGAGCAAACATCTCTTCTTGCCTAAAGCTTCTGCTCCATGTTGAGAGAAGAACAGAAAGGTAGTTTTCTTCATTGATACACTAATGTGAAAATTACCTCTCGTAGACACGCTCGGGACTCCTGTTAATGCCAGGGCTTTCCTTTTTGGTTTCCTAGCGCGATGATGTACATCATTAGCTACTTATTTAATTGTTTTGAGCCTCTTCTCTTTCAAAGAAGTTGCATTTTGCGTATTTTAGTTTGTGGTTCACCGTGCCTTATCGATAAGTTAATCCTTTAACCCCAAGAAGTGATTGACATGTAACTTCTCTTTATGCTGTGCATACATTATCCAGAAAATGAAAATACTCTAACTTATCAGGAAGAAGTTGTTATCTTGATTTAAAACCAAATTCTCGCAACAAATTTACAAGGAAATGTCTAGCAGCCAGAGGGGAGAATTCACAATCAGATCTTGGAAACTAAAGGATTGAGCTCTATTTCGTTCTGTGATGATTGAATAATGTGAACTGAGCACGATTAAACATTTTTCTTTTTATGTTTCCTTAGAAACTTCACCTTCCTCCAGAACTTTCAGAAACAGCGAATAGGACACAGGAAGATTCACATCGAGGGAAGCCTGGGTCCCTCTCGTGCCAGTCCATGGTCACTAACAGCTGTCTGGACTTTTGACTCTCATGCATTAGCTGGGGCCATGTGCCTCTGTTGGCGGAGAATGATACAAGGTAACAGTCAATGCTTGTTTTGGAGTATGTATGCCGTGGATTGCTCACGTTTAAAGTTAATCCAGCGAGTGTCATCTCTGTTGTACAATACATGTACTGTACTTTGAAGAAAAACGGAAATAGTCAATGACTTTCAGGTTGCCACTTAAAAATTTCCGACTCTTAAAGCTAAGTTTTACGATCAAGATACTGAAAAAGAACAAGAAATGGCCCAAATATTCAACGTCTTGATTACGAGATGACTTGGTGAGACATTCGACTCCTGCACTATTTATTGAAGTATAAAAAAGAAGGGATTTATGGCGCGCAGGAAATATTTGGGAGTCTTTGTGATGTTGCTCTTTGCCTCCTCTTCAAGGCTTCAAAAAAGGCTCTCGTCGAGCTGTGTGACTGTGAATAGCGTCATACAACCTGAGTTGTGTGTTTTTAACTTCAATGTATAGTGAGGAGTTGACCATCGGGAGTCAAGAGTGGATTAATGAAAGTGATTGGTCAGTTTTTCTGTGTTGGTTGGTATTGGCTGTGAGAGTCAAATAGAGGTCATGGTCAGTAAAATCTACGACCGGTGACTGATACCTGTGCGTCGAAACATTCTTTGATCTTTTGTTTGTGATGGATCGTGAACGACTCGCATGGAATGCGATGAAGGAACTGCACCGCTAACTGAATGCACTTAGAACTCTATGATAATTCGTTAAGAACTCGACTCACTTTCGGATGAAGTCGAAACATTGATACCTTTTTTGCCATGTTTTAGCCTGAGTCGCGAAAGATTCTCATTGAAAGCAATGATTGACTTAGGCTGGAAACTGAAGTCTCTGATGGTGGGTTAAAAATTCGCGTCGAACACGTCTTGACGTCTTGAATGCGCTCTACATATCGCACTATACCTGATTTAAAAGATCATGAAAATTCCCTCCTTGCGATCTCGGCCAGAAGATAAAGACACTTCAAGTTTTCGAAACTTCGTCCATATATAACTTGTTATTGAATGCAAAACACAAGTGGTGAGCTCTTTGTTGTATCGAGAATTCACCCAAATCCGTCGACCTAGCCTGGTGTGGTCTACAACGACGTTGAAGTCAGCAAACATGACGTCACCATAAGCCAACTTTCTGAGCCAGCGGCGTGTGTGTTTCGAGTCAGCGTCAAAGATAGGACTTGGTGCCTCACCTTTTCCACAGCACGGAATGTTTTAGGATTTTACTATCTTTGATTCAGTGGATAACGCCTGAACATGATGGTGACTGTTGAGAGGAACTGAGTGGCACAAATGTATGTCTTGGTGAAATTTCATAATTTTACATAAACACAATTTTACGACTCGTACGCAGAAGAATCATGCGTTCCTTAAGTTATCTTCAAAGTTAAACTTTATTTTAGCGAGATGTTGGACACCGCATCTCACTTGCCAAGGAATACTGAAATTGAAAGCTGCTGCCATTATCTCACTGAGACTCATTTCACTCGCTATTATGTTCCTCTGTAAAGACTATTAAATGTTGAGAATCGATTTTGAAAATCCTAGAAGAATCCTAATCTCTGTGACAGTTCATATATTAGAAAATGTTTATGGCGACAAATTTATTAAGGATGGTTTACTTGTATTAGGTCGTTCAAAAGACCCGATTGATTCTGATTGAAGTAATCAGTTTAACTTATGGAGAAATTATATTTGATTTTCGGACGAAATATAAAAGTAATAAAAAAAAGTGAAAGCTGTCGAAAGGCTCTAAAAGCCTGCAATGTGTGTACATTTGATCTTTCATTCGCATTTGTTTGGTTAATGTGTGGCAAATGGCACGCCGAAATAGAATCGTTAACAGACCAGTTGCAGTCTAAACTTTCTCATTTGAAGGGCAAGTAATCAAAAAGTGACCTTGACCCACCGTAATCTGGGTCAAATTCGCCAACCGCTGGGTTGTAAGTGCTTTCAATTTTGTAAAACCATTATGACTTTTATTACTATTGTATTCCAACCCGATGACAAACCACATCCTTTTTTAGCATGTTTGAATTGTGTTGAAAAAGCTCTCAGCCGTTAAGTGCTGCTATTTCGTTAATTTGCGAAATTCTGAATAATTCTTGATAGGATGTGTTCGTTTTTTGCTCGAATACTTAATTTTTATGAGCTGTGAAAAGGCCTACCTTGGACTAAAAAGTCCGTCTGAATGGCAATTTAACGAAAATATCTGCAAATTAAAGACTGAAAAAACGTGAGGAATTGCTCATTGTGTTTCGTTTTGTCAGCCATTGCGGGTGTTATTATCGGAACTTTCAGTGCAATTTCTAAGCTTTTAGGTGTCATTGACGTACACCATTATAAAAGAGGTCAAGGTATATTATGATAAACAGGAAAGCAGTGAAAGACATTCCTTTTGTGTCTCTTTTCAATCATCGCTTCTACTTCCTGAAACAGGCGTTGATTTTCGTTTTAACTTGTCTGGCGGTGATTTTTTTTTTGTTTTCCTTTTTTGTGAAACGCCATGAAACTGTCAGATTGTAGCGTTATGTTTTTGTTGCCACTGTAGCGTTGCACCCTTAATTTCTCGCTGATAGAGCGAAATCGCGGTAGGCTACGGTAACGGCCCCTGTCGCATCCAGAAGTAATTTACTTTTTTTTCGTCTCTGTCAGTGCAACTGTTTTCAATAGCCGCTATATAGTGTATTATTAGACCTAAGCCCACGTCCCCGACATGAACCAGCGAACAATGAATGAGAGAAACAGGAACGCATTGAAAGGCATTCCTTTTGTCTCTTTTTTTTAATAATCGCTTCTGCTTCCTAAAACAGGCGTTGATTTTCGTTGTGACTTATCTAGCATTGTCTTCTTCTTTTCCTACTTTATGAAACGCCATAAAACTGTAAACTTGTTGCGTAATGTTTTTGTAGCAGCTGTAGCGTTACGCCCGTAATTTCACGCTGATAGAGCGAAAACGTGGTAAGCTTTGCCAACCACCCCTTTCGCTTCCAGAAGTAAATAACATTGTCCCGTCTCTGTCCGTGCATCTGCTTTCAATAACCGTTATACGGCGAGTTCTTAGAGCTCAACGAGGGGAAAGTAAATGAGGAATAATACAAATACTTGGCAGCCGGCGAATGTTGTTGTGATGCAGGACCAAATTATCTTCTCTGATTTACAATAAATCAGTATACAGCAACTGGAAAGGAAAAGTTTCATTTATAATTTGGAGGGTAGAGGGAAAAAACTACAGCGTTTGTAATGGAAAATCCCACTTAGCTTGCATACGACGCAGTGTGTTGCCGGCAAGACATGGCAACTTGTATTATATTGGAACAGTGTCAATGTGACCAAGGATACCGGTTCATATTCTCAGACTTGTATGGGAAAAAGGGTATTCTCACGAAACTTTTCCAGTTTTAAAATTAGCTTTCTAGGTTGGAAAAAAGAAAAGACTATGCTAAATGAAATTTTGTAAAGATTATGAAATAAGCTGAGATCGTTATCTAGCTGTTGGAGTTTCCAGAAGGGTGTAGCTCGATGAATATAAATTTGAACCACAAGGCAGATAATTCATGTCTTTGTCGCAAAACAGTCAGATCTTTTTGAGTTGCGTGCAGATATTCATTATATTAATCTCGGTGTGTCTTCCTCTAATCTGTCAAAATTCTTTCTCATGTAAATTTTTGAATAATTTCGCAGCTTTTTTATTTCTCTGGCAACTTTCTTGTTAACAAATATTGCGTGGGATTCGGTTTAATTTATGATTATGTCAGTGAACTAATGGATCCATCGATACCAAATTTCGGAGAATACCACAGGTCCTTTATGTTTTATGGAATTAAAATCTGGAGAAAGCAAAAAACATCAACAACAACCATACATTCAGCCTAGAAAAAAAAGATTAAGTATACGCAGCCAGCTTGTCCACCAGCAGAGGTTCCAATATTATTATAATTTGTGTTTACAGAACATATGTTTTTGTTATTTCTGAAAAGCTATGTAAACTGTTTTTGGCCTTTTAACATCGAACAGGGTTCCTTAGCTTAGCCCTTCGTTTGTCTTAGCAGAGTAAAGCTTCTAAAGGTTCACCTTAAAAGAGCATCGATGTTTTTCGCGATTTAATGGTCAAGGTGTAAGCTAGTAAGAAGACATTTGGAAAAAAAAAACCACGATCCGTCAAAGATCTACTTCAGTAATAATTTTTGCTACTAATTGAGCAGATTTAGGAGAAACAACAAGCGCAGGGAAATAAAAATAGGGAAAGTTTTTTTTTTTTTAATGGAGCGTTCCACGCCAAAAATGCTCCACTTTTTCAGCTAATATTTCAGTTATTGATGATAGAAGAAGACGGAATTGGAGATAATAGTTTTCAATTTTCAATTTGGTGTGGAAAGTAATCCAGTATTACATTGGGTTTGCTTTACTTCGCTCTATGATTGGTTCAGAAACTCGCGCCACTTCCTCGACCAATCAGATGCAAACTAAAACCCATGGTCACCCGCGTTTCCCCGCGTCCTGACACAAGTCTAAAGCAGGTTACCAATAAATAAATGGTATCTTTTTATATTCCTGTGCGCATGTGCGGAACGGTATTGTGAGAATTTATTTTAGTGCCCATGAACACAACAATGACCCAGCCAGGTCTCAAATCCGGGTCTTTTATCCAGCGGAGAACAGCTTGCTAAGCATTAGACTTCTGCGTCTTTACGTTGCAAACAGAATTGTTTGTTTAGGCTTTTCTAACTATCTCAAAGACCGGTGAAAACCTCTCCCCATTTCTTATCCTTCATTTTCAGCCTCTGGCTGATTACAGCTGAAGGTGGATGTTTTCTGTCTTCGACAGTTCCTTTTGAGCGGAGATACTGGTTTCGGTTCTCAAAATATTTTTGATTTCAACTGTAGATAGCGATGTTTATAAATTCCCACGTTTAATTTGATGCACATACGTGTGTCGATATTTTGGCGATTTCAAAGATGCGTATCAACGTGGTCCTTCTGTCAAAAAAATAAAAAATTAAAACAGTAACATTATCATCATGTTTTATTATTAGAACCAGTAAGCTTGATAGTGAATTGATATCGCAAGAAGAAGTTGCTCTTCGGTATTTCCTTGAAGTGAAAAGGTGAAAATTTCGTCTCACAAACTCACATGGTTATGTAGGTCTAATTTCTTCATGAGGACTTTGTGTTTGGTTCATTTGTTTTTTTTCCCCTTTGATTTGTGTTTGTTTGTGTATGTTTTTGTATACTGTTGTTTTGTTCCATTTTGTACTCTGTCAAGAGGTGGTTTATCAAATCCTGAACGCAAAGAATTGCATGATGTTTTGTTATGACTCTCGTGTTCTTTGTGTGGGTATGGTTGGGCCCCCTGCTCATGTAACATTACCCCAAGTGATGTGTTGGAGAGCTGTCTTAGCCGCTGATAATTTCCTAAAGGCTTTTCTTTTCATTTATGTGTCTTGGCGAGTGAATATCGAGAGCAAGCGACACAAACAGGATATAAGTCATTCAATAAAAAAGATTAAATCTTGAAAAATACTTTGGAGAAAAAACCGGATCTTCCCGTCTGTTGTTCTGAGGAGACCAACGTAGGTTACAGAAACAAATTAACGAAATCTGATGATATTTTGAAGATAAGATTCATCGTAAGGTTTCATTTTCTCCCGCCCCTTTCAGCCATTTACCGTCAACTTTTCGCTTCGCTACTCTTTATTTTTCCCCGATAACAAAAGGAGAGACATTTTAAAGTGGCGTTATAAGCGTGGTGTTTGTTATGTAAGCTTTCGTGCCCTGCTTGATCTTTGCGTTCAAACGTGCATTTTCCGTCTCATTTATTGCTTGTTAGGTGATTTATTCATTTTAGAAAAAGTCATTTGAGTCTCAGGCGAGTTATTGCGCAATAAATAGTGTTTTTCGTTGAATATGATTAGGCCTGTGGTTGATTATGTAATCTTTACATTTATATACCTAGTGCGTTTACTGCTGTGAAAAAAGTGATTAAAAAAGGTGTGCAAGTACCGTGAGGCATAAAAGTTGTGCGGGTTGAGATTTTTTAAGATTAGACTTGATCTGTTAAAAGTAAGTTTCCGCCAAAAAAAAAAACAATCTTGAAACATGAATCGCTGCATAAATTTACTATCTCCAGTCGAATGCAAACCTCCGCGTGCGAATCATGAGTGAATTAGTAGTTTTCCTTCTGTATAACTCGACCAGTAAACTTGTTTGATATACAACTGTATATTATTTGGAAATTTTCTGTTGCTTAAACTGTTAATTGTAAAAATTAGTTCTGAGTTGAAATTTCAGCGAACTTGAAACGAAAAATTTGTTCCCTAAATCACACAAAAAAATCGCAGATCTGTAGAATCGCCAAACTCCTCGGTTAGTTCGAGAACATTCTGGAACGAGAACCCAGGAAAAGTGATTAAGTGCACGCGTAAAAAGTCGTTTAACGAGGCTCCATGGGGTTTTTTGACCGCGCGTGATCTGGGTGCGGACATAGCACGAGCTTTGAAAGATTCAACATGCAAAACAAACAAAACGGCTCGATACGATCGCACGATTGTTCTCTGAAAAGGTGAGTTAAAAACCGTTTAACACAATACAGTTTTTATGTGATGGAATCTAGAGTCTCCAGCAACTGCCCTCGTAATATTCAAAGGCCCTCTCTGCCTGAAAACCGAAAAGAGTTATCGTGTTTCCTTCGATGGAATTTCCTAAGATTTGCTGGACCGTTAAACATATTTGAGCCCTTCCTAGTGTCTGTTGATAAAAACAATTCATATGACCAATTTTGAGATAGAGGAAGAAAACACAAAATTGCAAATAGCGAGGAAACTGCCTTAGTAACCCCTATTTTTTTGGTTTTTAAATGATCGGCTAGACAATTTTCACAAATTGAAGAAGATCAAAGGCAAAGCCAAATTATCGCTGGCGAGCGCCTCCCTTCGCAGAACCTTAGTTTAAGAACGGAAATCATTTTGATAATATTTACTACAGCAAATGATAGTCCGAACCTTGCTCATTGCCTTTTGATGGATTTTAGTGAACTTGAAAAACGAAACATAAAAATTTTCTAGAAAAACATAATGCTGTCGCGCGCGCCAACATTGAGCAAAAACCCTATGGAGCCTCCCAAAGAGTGATAGTGCGATTTACTGCAGATCATTAACGAGAGAATTATCACCAGGTAGCGGGTTTAAAAAAAACAACAACAACAAACATGGGAAAAGTGAACTTAAGACCCAAAATAAAAGACGGCTAAAAATCGTGTACTACACACGGGATAGGGAACGCGGAAATATTTGTGGAGGTCAAAGTGGGGAAACTCCGGGTCTAATTCGTGTTAAAACCTCGCTAATTAGAGCGGTAAACGAGTGGTAAAGCACGCGGGAAAGAATGGATAGGAAACACATAGAAATGAAAGCGAGTTCTAGTAAAGATGTTCAAGTTGGCGTGGGAAAAAGCTGGGTTAGTTAGCAGGAGAAAGAGCAAGTGGAGGAAAAGTCGGGAGAGCATTTGCGGGCAAAGTTGTAAGGGATTGCGAAAGAGTTTGTACTAGTTAGCTCCAAAGAGGGAGAGTTTTCAGGCGTGGAAAAATCAAAAAAATCCCTTCTGCTTTCTTGATCTTATGCGTGATCGCTGCAAAGCAAATTACTTCGACTTACGTTTACAACTTCCAACCGCAAACCTTAAAGAGTGCGTCTTTGAAGAATTTTGTCGACTGGGAAAGTGCTTCCCATGTGACCGTATCTCAGTCCTGCGGTGCATAAAAGCGTGAACTCAGTTAGCGCAAATGATTATTATTGAACAACTCGGCTCTAAACGCTTGCTTCTAAATTAGTTATGATGAACCTGCTGACCAGAACTCGAGTGCATGACACGTCTCAGCTAACTATTATGCGATAATTACGTTAGATTAAAACGCATCAAGCGTGGTCTGGCAGCGAGGTGTTGAGTCGCTTAGTTGTCACCTGAAGTAATATAAACGTGCGATTTTTAACGTTAGTTACACGATAAGCCTCGAGCGATAAGACCTACTATAAGCAAGAAACTTGCGTCTCACTTAATGGCTTTTTCCATTAGAGAATTGATTGCTCCTTAGAGATGTCAATTTCAAAGACTGACAGTTGAACTTGTGGAGCAAATGGAAGAAAGTCTTTTTTATCTGGTGGTTATCTAAGAGCAAGTCTTTGCAACGCCCTGCTATAATTTTTAATTTCCTTGATTGTTGCCCTTGAATTTCCAAGATGCTTTCAAATGCGTTTTTTAACGGAAGAAAAAAATCAAAGGGTATTGCGTCAAATATCATGTACATTAGTCAGTCAGCAAGGAGTTTAGTTAGTTCTTCTACGCATTATTTTTTGTTTTAAGCGGAAACTATAACTTAACGTTGTGGAAGCATAAATCTCCGTGACTGTTTTTAAGCAATATTTGCGAATTCTATTTCAATTTAAAAGGAGGTATTTAAATCTCTGACAAATATTCAAATTTTTGATCGTCGGTGTAAAGAAATTATTTGAAAGCAAGCACAAAAGACAAATTTTTAAAGTGAAGGCGAAAGGTGACGTCAGAGGGATTTAGTGATCAATTACTTGATCATACGTATTTTTCTGCTTTGTTACATTTTTCAGAATTTTTTGGTAAAAACGTGTAGTTCTAGCTTCGCCTTTGTTAACTTTTACTTGAGATTCGTTCTAATATTTTAAAGAGAACGAAATGATTTTCGCTCTATTTAATATCATTGCTTGATCACCCGTTGCGGAGAAGCTTAATTAGTGAAAGCGTCAACTAAATTGCGTAATTGCTTCATTTGTTGGAGGAATCCTTTTTTGCTGGCCATCACCGACGAAGGAGGAGAATTCTCGCTTTGTCTCTCTTGAGCTGTGGTTAGCATTGTTTACTAATATTGAAATACTTGATATTGAACTCGCTTTCACATTAAGAACTATGTAAGGCGAAGACAAAGGCTAGCGTCGTATATCTTCAAGACTTCACCTCTTGAATACGACAATATTTACCAGATGGCCTTCGCCTTGGTCATGCGCAGATCACATTCAACTGCACGCCACTACGTCATGCCGTTCGGAAGTATTGTCATTTTGCCTTTCGTACTTGTCAGAATCCGTAAAAATGCTCTTTATTTTAAAGAAGCCGTCTTTGCTCGTACAGCCTTTTAATGTCACTTTGCGGACACCACCCCTCAGGCAGCGGCTGAGATAAACAGAAATAAATTGCTCCCTTTTTTTTTCTCTCTTCCTACGCTGATATTGTCCATTTTTTAACCCGTGATGATCGCATTGTTTGGCCAGTTCCGTACCTAGTGTTATCATAAAAATGGCCTTTAACTGGAGATGCGCTACGGAACTTATTTTCGTAGATGATCCAAAGAATTGAAGAAGAGCTCGCCGATATTTTCCTGTTCGTGTTTGCGAGCAGGTGTCCAGTTATAACGCGTGCGCACTAAATTCGAAATGTTGTTTATAATATGTTATGGTTTCTGTATGAAGAGGAAATATTTTTTGTGAAACCGCAGGGGAAAACAGCGAGCTTGATGGAAATTGTATAGAGTGATCCTCTCAGTTGGGTTACACAGCATCAAGGTTTTTTATTTCACCATCTGTCAAAATCCACTTTATTTCCGATTTTTGTGCCGACGAAATCGAATTTGCATTCACACTTTGGAAAGAAGTGCAACATTTACTTTTTCGTAAAATCGGAGCGCAATTAATGGTGTGTATTATTGACAGTTTGCACTAGAAAGCTGAGCGGGATGAATCTTCGAGGTCTGGGCAAATAGCTTGCGCGGGCAGATTTGGTATCGAAAAGACGCGCCGTTGTCTTCGTTACTATGCGATGATGTACCATTGGACCAATACTTGCGTTGTAAATGCCTCTTTGTGCTGAGTAATTCGGTTTTTATTTATGGTTTGCGTGGTGCTATTACTGGGCGAAAAATGGGCTTTTTTGGTGTTTCGCGAAAGATTAGATGAAAAGAGCAGGACTATAGCATAACCTTCGTCAACAATGTCATTGAAGGAAATTCGCCTCTCTTCCCCAGAAGATCCGCGAGCTAATGAAAAAGTTGTTATAAACGTCGGTGGTATTAGACACGAGACTTACACTACTACTCTAAAAAATATCCCAGACACAAGACTGTCCTGGATCACGGAAAACAAGACACAACTTCCCGAATATGACCCAAATACGAACGAGTATTTCTTTGATCGCCATCCGACGGTCTTTACACAGATCTTAAATTTCTACCGCACGGGAAAACTTCACTGCCCCAATGATGTGTGTGGTCCGCTTTTTGAAGAGGAGCTTGCATTTTGGGGAATCGATGAGCTACAGGTCGAATCATGTTGCTGGTTGAACTATAAGAAACATCGCGAAGCCCAGGCGAATTTGGACACATTGGACGGGCATGATTCAGACAGGGACAGCCTTTCAGACATGGATATGACGGTGTACGGACTTGTCGCCGACAGCATTAGAAACAAGAACCGCACTCTCTGGAAAAAGATTCAACCCAAAGTTTGGACCACATTTGAGGAGCCGTATTCATCTCGGCTGGCCCAGGTTAGTGACACGAACGTATATAATAGAAAAAACATGCTTCTAATTTGCGTTTCATTTTGCATGTGTATTGTCAATATTGTTTAATTTCACACGAATCGCTCATGAAGTTGTGTGCTCCGCTTGACGCTTTTGTGCAAATGCGTTTTAGGCTTTGGCCATTTTATCCATTCAGATCTCGTCGATAAATTCAAGTCAAAACGCCCATTACTGTGGTTGAGAAATGATTTTACTACGGTCAGTTTGGTTTCCAAGAGACCTGAACGATGAACGCTCCACAAGGCAAATCACTTGTGCGATTATTTTATTCAAACATTATTCGAGGAAACTCAAAGCGACAGCACGCCAACTGACGGATTACCTGAGTTCCATTTTGCTTTTCCATTAATCTTCAATTTGACATCACCCTCTGGTAACCGCGAATCTAAATTCTTGGCGCTAATTTACAAACGAATCGTGAATCATCGCTACGTTGTTGTGATTCTGTGCGCAGACACGAGAAAACGATTTTGAATAAGGAAAGTAGAATTGATGCTGTGTTTATAGTTAACCGCTCTCAAATAAACAATCTTAAACGGGCGCACTTAGTTCGGCCCTGATTGAATCCTTCACGAATTATTCGGTGAAAAATTTCATTCGCTTTTACGGCGGTTTAAGGATCAGCCAGACATAGACAAAAATCACATTAACAACAAATATATTAGTGGCCACATTCTGAAAGTAATACTTCTGATTCATCAGCCTTTAGCAGGTGTCCTGGCGAACAGTGGAGGTGGATATTAATTTCGGATTGAGATTTTTTGTTTCAAGTCTCATCTTGAACTTTCAAACTTTTCCTGACACTTTTTAATATTTAAATGGAAAAGTTAATGAAAATTTATGGTTAATGACTGTTCTTTGATACAATGGTGAATTTACAAAATACGAAAAGCTGTCTGTTATTTCGTCGCAATTGTCAAAACCTTAATTCATAATTTCAATTCAAACATGTGAATTTTACAAAATAATAAAAATATAGCCAGACAAACACGTTTCATGCCCTTTAAGATATTTATTTCGATCTTATTTGAAAAGCTGTTTCACGGAGCATTGTAGCAATGGGACATGACAGCAACGAGATAGAGTTTTCTTTTTCCAATCGTATCCACGCATGCGTAAGTGCCTGTCTTGACATAGAATTTTACGTGATCCGGCCGTTTGTTCGCTGAAAATTAATGGCTCTGACTTTCGTATCTTTTCGAGGCTACAGCTTTTCTCGAACTTTTTCTTACAGTGATAGGTAAAATGACCAAGTTGGCGATCATTAACTCAACGATTAAAAACCAACTTCACAGAACGTCATTGCATATTATTAATCAGGTTTCGATCAGCAAGCAAAAGGCTGCATCAGTTCGCTGTCTACAACATAAATAATGGCGAAAAGGCAATGTTTCAAGCGCTTTTCAGGAACTTAAGATAACACATGTTTTCTCAATAATTTTTGCCATTTTGTTGTGATGTTTTTCGAGTAAACCATGCAGTTCTTGATTATTTTTTCTCTCTCCGAACTCTTTAAAGTAAAAATCTATTGCAACCATAATTCTTTCCGTACCACATTGAGTGTAAACACATTTTTTACAGTTTACAGTCTATCCATTGAGTATCGAGCGGATTTCACTTTATCTTTTTATATCTCGCTTGGGCATAAGCTAACGAAGGCAAATCACCACACAATTTCGCGAAAGATCTTTTTATTAAGAATCGAAAATTAAATGTTATCGAAATTCGGCGGCAACTTAACTGAAATGGAAAAATATTCATTCATCCTAGACAACGTTAAGTAACAGCTGGGCATAAACTTTCTTCTTTTAAGCCTCTTGTCCCGATAAAATTGGGTCAAAGCTTTTCTCGAAATCGTGTGCCATAACATAACAAATTTTCTGGTCGTTTTTCCTTTGCATCGAAAAACTTTTTGTTACCGTCTTATTCTGTCGTCACTCGTAGTTCTAAAGTAGAAATTTAATCTCTTTTACAACGTAATGATTGATTTTTTTTATTATACTCATTATGTAAAACACTCGTCAACGCACTTAATGGTTTCATGATCGCATCCTGCAGTTTTTGTCGTCATTGCTAATTGTGTGCAATTAGTTTTTGGTTTCAAAGAAATTTTGTCAAGAATTGTCATGATTTTAAGACGTCGAAAGCAACGCTTGACGTTTTGTAAGTGCCAAAAACATTTGCCAAACGTCCCCCTTTTTTTATTTTTTATTTCGTTACCAACATAAAAAGGCTTAAGTGGAAAATTTTTTTATCAAATTGCTTTTCATCTTATTTTCTTAGTTATTTTTCATTCTCTGAAAGGCTCTTGTGCACAATTCTTGTAATTCGTACACAACGCGGGAAAAGCGAGCCGGGTTTAACTTTTAAAATCTCTATTGCAAAATGGACTCTGGTTTACCCTTTCAGACTAATATTCCCGTTATAGAAATTATTTTCTGAAATTTTTATCTATGCTGTTTACTTGTTGAGAATACGTACGTGACCTTGGTAAGAATCATAGAAACATGAATAATATAGAGTCTGACTGAATCGGAGCAAGATCGTTCTTAAATAAATATACAGCAGCACTTTCATCTGTTCTATCAAAGCACTTTTATGCTAAAACTAAAGTTCACCCACTGTCAAAAGTATGTTTATTTTTAAGCTGCGAGCTTTAAGAGAAAGAAAACTAATCAGTTTTGTCACAAGAAGATAGTTGTTGTTTTGTTTGATCAAATAGATTGCAACCTTCCGACAAACAAGTTTTCGCCTGCGGTCAAGTCATGATCTATAGAATTTTTACAGAAGGGGCGATACTCCTCGAATGTTTTTCTTAAAGTTTCATGTAGCGGTGTTTCGATAGAATAATACGTGTACGAGCTTAGGAGAAACCTGCATTGCCTTGGTTGCTACGTACTGTTGTAAAACCACCCAAAAATATTGTATTGGATTCAGTTTGGATTGACTGCTGTACAAACCAATGGATATGTATATTGCTACCTGTATCAACAAGCGAAGCAAATCGTAAATGACTTGTTTCTGAAATAGAGAACAATATTCCAGTGGACGAAGGTTTTCAGAAACCGTAGAAATCCCTTGATAGCCCTTCTCTTATCCCATCCACCCAAGTGTAACTTATATTTAACCTTGAAATAGTCTCGTCAAAATTTTGAGGTCACGCGGACTCTTTTTTTAGCCATTTTTTTCCGTATCACAGTCTTAATCTTTAGAGAAACTGTCTCGGGGGTCTTAACGGTTTGTAACGTAGCTGTTTCGAGCGAAATCCTTTATATTTATCCCAAAAAATCACAAAATCTTGGAAAAATGACTATCCTGACTGTAGTGTAGAAAGGTAAACGAGAACTTTCTTAAAAAATAGTGAATTTTTAGTTCGATACGGTGAAATGAAGAAAGATCATTTCACGGTTTTTTTGTTATGTTATTAACGTGAGTCCTCACAAGGATGTATGCCTTCAGTTTCTTCGCTTCTACGCTCTCTCATTGAGGCTCTGCGGTGACTTAATCCATTATTAGGTTACACTTCTAGGATTATTAAAGCCTCCTATAGGTCTATTTAGGATAGGAATCAAACACCCATGAAAAACACAGGCAAATACTGCGAAAATTACAGGAATCACGAAGGCTCGTTCAAAGATGTTTTAGCGATAAAAATCGTCCAGGCTCGCCTTCATTTTTCATTCAGAAAGAATCAGACTCTCCGAAAAAAAGGTGCGAGTCTCGCAATCTCTCAACGTCACCCTTAGCAGTGACCTGCCTTAAATGGAGCCAGGTCAAGAATCATTGCTTGGTTTTCCTCAGTGCACCGTGCAAACTAATCCAAAACTATGGACCAATTTGGAAAAGGGAAGGAAAAAAACAAATTTAGAAATCCTAAATAGAAACCTTATGAGACGTTCAAAGAACAAGAATGGTTACGAGTGGAGAAGGACAACACGCGTCACGAACGACACGCTGAAAAATTTAGACTAATGTTTTAGATCCTTAATCTATTACATAGATCCTTGATAGAAAACTGCGACTTTATCCGTACTTTAGGCCCCCTTTTCTGGGCCTTCTGTTTAATTTAGGATTCTTATTGACTTTTTTTATTTCCCATGCTCGTGGACTTGCTTCGATTATGTTCCCTTTGCTCAGTCGACCTATTTAATACCACAGAATTATTCTTAAGCTTCTACCTACGCGTAAAAGGTTTATTTTTTCCCATTATAAAACACTCTAAACAACAACAGTAGACGACAATTAGGCCTATCGCCTTCCAGTGACACTGTACCTTTACCTATCGAAGTTTGTAGCAACTTTTCTTCGGTGAAAAATGCTAAGTGAAATTCATTGTTTTGTTGGTAGGCTATTGCATTTACCACACTGATCCTCATTCTGACCTCCGTCATAACGTTCTGCCTAGAAAGTGTTCCCTTCTTTGAAGACAAGTCATCCACTCAGTATCAGGTCCTCTACATCACGGATATCATTTGCGTGGCTTGGTTTACACTCGAGTTTGTTATGCGACTTACTTTCTGCCCAAGAAAGCTGCAGTTTATCAAGAAACCTATGAACTGGATTGATTTTTGTGCCATCATGCCGTTTTATTTGGATTTGTTCATCAGCTCTTCCAATATCAAAACCATTGTAGTTTTGCGTGTGGTCAGGCTTATACGAGTGTTTCGAATCTTTAAACTCTCGCGACATTCATATGGTCTTCAGATCCTCGGTCACACTTTAAGGTCGAGCTGTAGCGAGCTGTTTCTTCTGGCCTTCTTCCTTAGTATAGGTGTGGTGATATTTTCAAGTATTATCTATTACGCCGAAAAAGACATACGCGACACCAAGTTCACAACCATTCCAGCCTCCTTCTGGTGGGCTGTTGTCACCATGACGACGCTCGGCTATGGAGACATGGCACCAGAATCCTGGGAAGGAAAAATCGTGGGCTCCTTTTGTGCGATCAGTGGTGTTCTTATGATTGCACTTCCGGTTCCAGTGATAGTGAGCAATTTTTCGTTGTACTATTCTCATGCAAAAGCAAGGCTCAAGCTGCCGAAGAGGAAGAGACCGCTGGTCATTGGTGCTGCTAACGCGCTCAAGGTTGCTCAATCGTTTGTTACGCAAAGCAGTCCAAAAATGTCCAAGGAAATGGTAGCAGATCATATCGAAAGTGAAGATCAAGATGATTCGGAAAAGGATGATTCACGCCCTGGTAGTAGAAACCGTTGGTCGTCACCCTATCCCAGCATTCGCTCAACTCCTCGAGCGACTCCAATGGAAAGGCGACGGCTCCCAAGTGCAAACACTGTAGTCATTCCTCCATCACCAAGAAACTCTCTACCAACGTTAGGGCAAGAAGTAAAGAGGGGGAGTTTGTTTGCAGTTCCAGAGGCAGAACGAATCGAAATAGAAATGGTAGAGTGTAACCCTTCGTGTTCAGTGATAGTTGAAAATATACCAACGAACGTATCCACCAAGGAGAGTGTATCCCAGCAGTCGTCACCATCAGCTCTCAATTCAACCTTCAGAAGCTCTGAAAAAGTGTCTGAAGTGTCCTCAGCAGCAACTGCGCTAAGCCCCAAGAGAAGTGATACTGAAAGTGGTTCATCTGTTGTTGAGATGAAAACTCCGCCAAGCTCTCGGCAAAGAAGTACCTCTTCTAACCAGTCCATGTCCATAGATTCGACGCAAGGCTCGCCAAAGCTGAACCCACGGGGGCGGATGGGACGCCGCGGCAGCCTGTATGTTGTTGGTTTTACAGCCAAACACTGGCAGAATAAGGCGTTGAAGAAAAACAAGAAGACCCAATCTGCTCAGACTGACACAGGTTCGCGTAAGCCTTCGGCAACGTCGACCGCAGATCGCACAAGCTCTGCAACCCAGGCTGGTATTGCGACGAGTGGTCGAAGAAGCAGTGGCAAAACTCCTGATGACTCTGGGCTGTCTTCTCCGGAGAAAGTGTCTCAGTTACATTCTCAACTCACTGCTTCAAGAGAGTCGGGAACTGCAACACAGACGGAAGAGGGTAGACCCTTGGCCCAAAATGGTTTGCGAGACATACCTGACGGCCATGGTTACCACGGCGTTGATGAAAGAAACAGTAAGAGTGTTCATACGTCTAAGCGATCTAGAAGTGAACCCCATGACAGCTCGCGATTCAAAGCCCTCCCAGTAAATAGATTACGCGACGAGTATCATAATGGAAAATCAACGGGAGTGTCTGTATCTATAGAAAGTAACGACTCCAGTGCGAGATTGTCCGACGACTCATTAACGATTAGCGATCGACACCGACAGCGACGCGGATCCTCTCCACTGGTCAGACAAAAGGCCGTATTTACTTTTGATATGCCTGATCAATTAGTGCAGGTTGACCCAAGTGCTGGAGGCCGCCTCGCGGCTTCGAAACGTAAATCAACCCCGTCACGCGCACACGACGACAACGGATTTTCTCTCTCCCCTCTTATTGAGCATAGCGAAAGTGACCTGGCAGAACCGAGGAAACTCATGGAAACCCGAAGAAACTCGTGTATTCCAGCAATAACAACGGAAAGAAAAAGTTCCAACAAGGGCAAGAAAAGCAAGTCTTCAGGGATCATTCCTAACGGTTATGTCAACGGTTCTTACCATTTCGATGAAGACGACAGAAGATTAAGCGAGAGGCGGTTATCATCTGGAACTCAGAACAGTGGTATTTCGAGCGCTAAAGAACTCTTCCTTGATCCGGAGTTAAATCGGTCGCGAAGTGAAACATACCCGGCTTATTTCGCACTCGGTCCAGAAGCGCACCCGTCTATTACCCTCTCAAGTCACGGTGAACCATTCTACACAGAAGCTAAATCGTTCGGGCATTACTCTGCCCTGGATCATCGACAAATTTCGTCAAACTCTGATTCAAACTTACCTTCTATAAGTGAAGAACTCGCTGGCTTTAACTCCAAACAGCGCGGGGTAGACATGGCCTGTTTAGAGACACCAGGGATGCTGCCACGACCAAACTCTCTCCCCAACGCCTGGAGCGGGAATCTTGTCCGACCGGTTGTAATGCACCGTCCACATAGCGACTCCGTCTACTTCAATCATACCGATGCGTACCACTTCCCTTCGGAAGTGGGTAGTTCAATGGGAAATCTTCGACAACCCGCAGGAATTCTGCGATTTCCTGCAGCGAACGTTAGCCAAAGTGATCGAAAGGGTCAACCGGTACGAAGGCACACTTATGGTTCTTTTGAGGAGCAGAAATTGATTCGTGACCAGGAAATGGAAAGCCTTCTGGCTCAGCGACGCCAAGGGCGTGTACTTTATGTCCACGTGCCGCAAAGTGAAACCACGAGTCGTACAACAACTGATCATGGTGAGCATGGTGACAGAATGACGGAAGTATCACGATATGAAATGTCACAGTCGAAAAATAACACTTGTGAGCACGTTGGCTCGCCTTTCTTTAAAAAGACGGAATCTGTATCGAGCCCAGATTTGCTTTCAATGAAAGGAACTTTACCGCCAGGTAGACTCTCTTCAAATCTATCTAATAGTTGGTATCAATCGGCCAATGAACCTCCAAGAACACTTAATGGTTTTGATGGGATCTTTAGTGACTATCCCAATTACCCATCACACCCTAGCGGTGGAGCGCTATCGACATGTTCAGTTTCTGTTCATTCGGTTCCAAATAGTGTACAAAACGTCTCTGTCAAACATTTTGTTGATGAATCAATAGCTGCTCGGTTGCCATCGACTTCACGATCATCTGGTGAGGAAGCTGCGCGTGTTCAGAGCGCATCATCGCCAGCACTTGAACGTACGGACGGAGAAGTGATGTTCAATGGACATGAGACTTTACAAAAAAGAGACAGTTCAAGCAGGCCTGCTAGTGTTCCAGTATTCAATCGTCAACGAGCTCGTGCAATTTTTGTGGGTGATTCTGGAATTGATAGCGTGGGTAGTTTAACTTCAATGACACATTCGTTGGAAGCCGAGGTGGAAAGCGTGACATGTCCAAGTAACTCTAGAGTCGACATCCTAAATCCAATCCATGAGAATGACACTGAAATCTCCGATTCGAGCCAAGCAGAAAACGCTCGAAACACTGGAACAGCAGTGTCCGTGCAATCCGCGAACGAGGACCATGAGAAGACTAAGAAAAAACAGCTAGTGATGAGTAATGTGAAGCTTAATGGAAACCGTATGTCAGATATTCTTGGTAACTCGGATTTATACGAGTCCAGCTTAGTGTAGAGCAGCTCAGAGGCTTTCGTCGTCATAGAGCATGGTCACAAAGCGAAATCGTTGGTCAAAGGAACTAACAAAGGATCAAAATGCATATAGAAGTACTTACTCATGTTCGATGGCCAGTTCTGTAAGTAAATCTCATGTAAAAGCAGGTTCTTTTACGTTACCTCTTAGTGAGAAGGCAAAACTTGTGAAAAAATAATTTTTTGGTATTAAAAGAGATCATTTAAAAGTAATCCGTCTCCTTTCTTCGTTCTAATTTTTGGCTTCATGCTATGCTGTGTTACGATCAGAAGCGAATTGCTCCTTCTTCCATGAGCAGACTGAACTCAACTTCTCTTTATGTGAAATTAGGGTAAAGATTTGCAAGTGTTGAGATATTTATTAGAGACAGAAGGACGAATCAAAACACTAGTACTGATACGGTAAAAACTAACAGATTTTTTAAGCGGAAAAATAGAAATTGTTTTGATTTTCTGAAGGTGAAATCGATTGGTGGGTGGGTAACAGTGTTCACGTTTCAAACAAAATCCTAAACCATGAACCAAACCAAAATGCGTCCAACTTAGATATTTGTTGACACTTCTGTCGTTCGCCAACACAAAGAGACTCTTTACCTCTCTAGGCTCCTCCTGAAACAAAAACAAAAGACAAAAAGAAAAGCTGACTGATTCTAACACCCTGAACCATACAATGAAAAGTCAGAAAATAACGAAGGTGGTTTTTGGTACAAGAGTGCACAGCTATCGGGTGCAAATCTGAAATCTCCTCCCCGCTTCCCGGTCCCCAGTGTCGCGCGATTAAGAGTTTTCAGAATTTAGTTTTAATGAGCCAGCTTTGAGTAAGTCTTGATAGTGGGTGCTGCTTACATTCTATCGTGTGCTTCACTCTTTGAAAATATTTGCTATCCTCTACTGAGTCGCGCGCGTTATAAGGTGTTCCCTTAGTTCGGTTTTTTTTTTGCTCTATTCGCTGCATTTGTTAGTGATATCGTGGGCAAATAAATCATGTATAATAACCCTTTTATAGCTCCCTTAAGTGATCGATGACTGAGAGAGTAATTATCCCGGCTTACAATATCAATACAAGATCAAGCTGACAAGTGATGAGATTATTATTTGATCCAATACCAAATTCTCAAACATCATTAAAATTGTATGGTAAACAGTAAAAAGGGCTAAAATAGCCAAACTTTAATGTCGATTACTCCCAAATTTACTGACATTGAATTTTTTAAAGTGAAAGCGTAAGGACCAGTTCACGAAAGCAATATTCTAGAGCGCGGAAAATAAAGCCGTGTTGTGCGTCAAAAGGTTGAGAAATTCAGACAAATATGCACAAGATTTGATATAGATTTAATGCTGAATGGTTCTGAACCCTAACTGGATTTTCAGAACTAGGCTTGCGTGTTCGTCATCTCACAGCAAAATTATTACTGTCTTGTGACTGACAGAAACAGGTGATGAGAGAAGCAGGTGGCGTGTAAAACTGACGCTCAACTCGTCATGATTTAGCTGAGTTTTGGGGTTAAGAAATAAATTTTCGTCGAGAATCTCAGTGTGAGTTGAGCTTCATGTGAAGTGAAAGATGTTAATGAGTTCGACTGACGAATTTTTCCGCGAATTTTTTCTTTAATGTGTATCAGGAACTTCGGGATAGAATTGGCCAGTACGGACTTGTTTCAGTTCACCCGTCTCTGCTTTTAATAGCGTTGGGCACATCTCCACAAATACCATCAACGGTTACTGAAGCGTGTCCAACGATCAAAATATTGACCTTTGTACTGCAGGTTCTTAACTATGGAATGATGAATGCGTAGAAAAGAGCGAAACTATTCGTTTAAGTAATACATCCTTGACAGCAGTTTTATTTCGCTTAAGATCAACTAGAGAGCGTGCGATGCTGTTCGCTAAAGTTGTAAAAACTGATGTATCTACTGTAACCCTCTTGCTTAGTTTGTTACCTTTTTTCCTTAGACCTTCAATTTCCTTTTTCTTTTGCATTGATGAATTCAAACTTTTATTATACTCTTAAGTTGCACGAAGCATCAGTGAAAGATAAAAATGTTCCGCTTTTCAAATGACAGAAACAAAAAAAAGGTGGCGCCTTCCATCCTTTTCTTTCGTCTTGCTAGCACTGAATTGCATAAAAACTTATTTTAAATAAAAGAAAAGCAATTAAACCTACACCACGACAAAATAACGATTCAACAATCACTAATGAAACTCAGTAAAATGCCTTTAAGACAGCCCAGTTATCAAATATTTTTTGTTCACCAAAGCTGTAGAAAGTTCTAACGATGGATTAGGGCCAGGGAATGACAAGAACTTCTGATGACATCCTAAAACCTGACTTATTACCGTGGTTTGCTTTTTAAAATAAATCAATTTTTGAATGTCTTACTATTTCGAATTCATTTTTTTATCAAATGATATGAATTTATGTGAATGCGAATTTATATGAATGCGAATTCATAAACTTTATTTTGAAAAATTGCGTTGTAAATCATTAAAATGTAGGTATTTATTACAATCGTAATTGAACTGCAATATTGAACGGCCGCCAACATTTGCTTTCTTTACTAACAAAATGAAAATTGATTTTCAGTATGTTTTCCAACGTATTTATCTTTTACAAAACAGAATTTAGCTAATGTTTCTTATTTGTTTGTACTTTTATCGCAAAAGGAAGTTTCAGAAAGCTTTTGACTAATGAAAAACAAATTAAAGCTGCAAACCGCAAAGTAGTCAGTGACGCATTACGGGCGCACTGGTAATCTCCCGTCTTGTCTTTCGCTTCTCAGGCAATGAGAATGTCCTCTCCTCTCCTTTTTGCAGCATGAAGAGGAATTCACTTCTATCCAATTACGTCCACATTCCCTTTTTTCTCCACCACTACCCCCTTGGGCTCCTTGTTTTCCCTTCAGGTTTGTTTGTTGATCTAAAATTTACTTGCTAACTCTCTCACTCCATTCTGATTCCGCTCGTCTCCTGTTTTTTTTTTTTTTATTATTATTATTTTTTTTTTTAGCGACGCACTCAAAGGACCACAAAAAAGAAAATAAACTACTCTGAGCGGTGCTTATCAACGAATAAACCGGAAAAAAGAGTATATTTATAGAATTCGCACTTGACTTACACCTTGCATTCGCTGAAGGTGTCGTCGAAGCGCAATGCACCCCAGTGGGTTCCTAAGTTGATCATTATACATTATGAATTGTATGCGTCACAGAAATGTTAGTCAGACCAATCGTGCCTGTGTGTAATGTACCCGCGGTCGATTAGTGGTTAGTCGCTCCTATTCATCTCGTTTCTACTCGTGTAGTTTGTATTTTCGAGGATTAGGGACACGTATATTTAAAGGCAGCTGAGGGATCAGAAAGTTTAAAAGTTATCCTCACAAAAACACTAAAGAAGAAGTGCGAGGTAAGTAAAATTTCATCAGTTGACAACTTTTATTTGTTTTAGAAAGGTGGTGTACACTCGGTAGGAGTCTTATCGCTTTCTTGTTGAAACAAACTATCTTGCATCAATGTAAGTTAATTCATTCATTGAAAAACATTTGGATATATACTCGATCTTGCCGAATATATTACATAATGCCGCCTTTTATCGTTTACTTCTGGCATGTTGGGGTCAAAGTACATCATACCCATTTTCACTTACGAGAGTGAGTCGATGTACTCACCTCTTTTGCGTCTTTTTAGTTAAGTTATATCGCTATAGAGGTAGTAAATGTGTTCAGATTTTACGAGTCACAAGTGGTTATGATAGCCATGTTGATTTCGAGACCTTTTCGTCATTCAGATTTTACGGTTTGAAACGTGTTTGAGCGCGAGTGAGACAGATGACAAAGTTCTAGTCTTTTAGTATTTAGTATTAGTAATGTTTAACTGATATTTTATTACTTTATAAACAGATTTAGTGAAATCACGTCACCGAGGGTATAAATATAGAGGTGACTTGCGATAAAAGTTTTCCAAAAACTCTCACACTCGTGTCTTCTTACCCTCAACGCAACACTAAATCAAGAACACGAAACCATTCCCACAGCGCGCGACAGCCATGCTTTTTAACGCTCAACTTGCGCTTTCTTGTGTTGATAGCTTCTGACGTTCTCTAGTTAAGTTTTTCATAATATTTCAAGAAAGAAATATGGTCAGTTATTCAATCTTTTGTCCTAATCATAAAAGATGCATGTCACAAACATGCTGTTTTTATCTTTTTACAGTCACAAGCCGACAACAGAAGAGATCGATTATATTACTGAGGATGATCAATTTTTTAATATAAATTTAACTTTTGTTCAAACTTTTGCTTTGTCTTTGTCTTCCTCTTCCTCTTAAAGTGAAGAAAGAAGGAAAGCAGAGAATAAAAACCCGCAAAAGACTTCGAGATTTTTAGTTGCTAAAGTAACACATACCATCATAAGAATTCGTTTTTCTCGCAAGAAAAACCATCGTAGTTTTGTATCAAGCACACAAATAACGAAAGCGGGCATAGCCGATTTTGGAAATGACGTTTTCGCTTGTGATTGGCTGACGCCAAAATTTCCAGCTGTATATTAGTTTTCAGGGGTGTGTTGAAAAAACGTGAATGATCGGAAAAATAAATTATAACAGATTGTTCCCGCCGAGAGGTAAACGCATACAGTTTCCATGTGCTCACTGATCCTTATGCCTACTGTTTTCAGTTATGTAAACTACGGCCTTCCGCAAATGTCAACAATTATCTAACTTCATTAAAAAATACTTTCGAATGAATTCAATGTCATCATAACAGCCAAACAAGATTTCCAAAATTCAGTGTTGATTCCTTAATTTTATAGATTGAAGTTTACATCCTGCCAGAAACATTGAAATTTTTTGAAGAATGTTGTTTCTGTTCACAATCACAATATGCACAAATATTCTACATTTACGCATTATGAGTTGTCTGTTGGAAAAAAATTGGGAATCTAAACCGTGAAAGAGTCCAATTAGAACGGACTTAACTCTGTAACACGCTATGGGCAAACATAATCTTAATCCCTCAGATTCTCGCTCCTTCCATCTCATGTTTAAAGTATTTGTTTGGTCTCCTGGCTAAATTGTTTCTTGGGGGCAAAATTTGCCTTAAATTTCCTCTCTCTGCGCAGCTACAAAGATTAAAAATCAAGTTTGCCTTCCAAGATTTGGGCTCTTTACATTTTGATTTTATCTCTTTATTTCCGTTTGCGTTTTCCTTTTCCATTTTCCGCCTAAATCAGAAAACGGCCAGGAAGTTGAAGTTTGAGCAGCTAAACATTTATTTTTTTAATCTAGTTATTTCAATAACAGTCTTCTCTGCAAGTTTAAGACTCGTGTTTTATGAATAAAACAGAATTTAGGAGAATCTTTTTTAATTTTTTTGCTGCGATTTTCTAGAGTCACTTCACTTGACAAACCGTGTAAGCGCCGATTTTTGAAATTTCGCCAATAAAACTGACATAAATATCAATTACTAATCATTTATTCTCCGTGTCAAAAGACGTTTAAACCTCTTACGAAAATCAAGCACTTTTCTGTTTGTATTTTCTATTTCTTGAGTCAGCAAAAGCAATTCAGTGTCTTTTTCACCTGTTCTAATTACCATCTTAAAGCTATTCGAGTGGGAAGGGTAACGATATAAATAAGCTGTCATCCTGTGTCATCTGAAATGTCAAACCTAAAGAAAAGAACAAAGCAGAGGATGACTATTTGTCATTTCGGAGAAGCATCACTCGTATTCATCATGAGGATTCTTGCCTGTCTGAACGTGATACTCAGAGTTTCAGCCATGGCAAATCATTTCAACTCCCGGATGCAGCGAAGTTTTCAACAATCACCTTGACTACAAACATCTCCACCATCTGGCGTTTGTGAAAGCTTTTCGTGAGATCTGTGTTGATAATCTCGATCTATATTGTTCAACACGTTCATTTAGATTTGAGCTCATTCTTAACTTCCCATCAGAGGATTCGCAGTGAGTACAAAGACTCAAAAGCTAAAACCTTCACTGTTAAGCTGAGCTTAGCTGCAAAACTCGAACAAGACCCAACCAACAATAGACAAAGCGCAAGTAAATTGTTATCAAATTGATTTTAATGGAAATGTGCGATAAAACTACGCACTAGTTACCTCCCTAGAACAGAAAACCGACGCGACAAGAAGAATCAACTAATAGCTGATAATTTCCGTCGTATTGTGACAAGAGGAACAGGGAAACTCAATCACTCCCACGAATTAATCAGTGGGATTGAGCGCAAATAAAGCGAGATAATTCTTAGTTAGCAGCTATAGCCAATTCAGCTGTCATAAACACAGAGAACACGTCTGTCTTCCTCCCCCGCAAAGCAAAGAAAAATATCTCTGTAGTTGTGATAACCCAGCGCTTTAATGAGCTGATCATATTCAGAGAAAGAAACGCTAGTTTAGAATGCGATCTTTCTGACCTTGCGTTGAACTGACTCTCTTGTTTTCCAAAACGACAAATAGTTTAGAAAATAGCAAACTTGTTTTGTTTTCTTTAGTTAAGGGTGGATAACAGCTGAAGAAGTTTCACTCACAGATTCGGGAAAGAGAGAGAGGTTTTAACAAAGAGAGGAACGAGCGAAAAAGGAATTCTCCTCGCCGACATGGCTGTAAAGGTACTACTATTGTATACAGAATTTCTTATCTTCCAGGACTTCAACAGTTTTAATAGGTATTGACCACTGATTTTTTTAACAAGAGTGTTAGCTGCAGTCACGAAAGATAAAATGGCTTTTCAAAAACTAACGAGAAAAGAAGGGTGAAAAACAACCCTAGATCATATCACAACCTCCCGCGCATGTATAAGCATATAATTATTTTCATTCTGGTTTTTAAAGCGCAATGTTTCCACAACAGGAATATGAAATATACTTAATTTCTAAGAAACTCTTTTAGAGTATATTGGAACTCTGAAGCATTTTCATTTCATGCAAATTTAGTCGGTTTTTCCGTAGGTAATTGCAAATCAATTTTTTACAGGTTTTTTTAAGATGCTTTTTTGACACACCGATATTGTAATGACCTTTTGTTTATGGCAACAATCTTCAATGTTGTGCTCAAATATTTATGTCAGTTTTTGTTAAAGGTCTATCTTCTGGACTTAAAAGATCATGTTAGTTGTTCACTTTAAATAATACCACGTACTTTGATAAAGTAAAATGGTCGCCAGTGTTTTTTTCTTTGTTTTAAATATTTGGCAAACTGATGTAAACTTCCAACAATATTTTCAATCAGGCAGATTACATTTATGCTAATTTGTCGAATCATACCAAATTTGCTATCTCAGTTTTCCTTTTTATTTTTTGATTTTTTTCTTCTGAGAGAAGTTTAGTGATACTCTTTGTATATAAAATTGTAGCAACTTGAGTAATCGATATACCCTTGCGCAATCTTGAGTAGATTAGCCTTCCAAAAACGTGGAGTACTTTAAAAGTTATTAGTTTTTCAGTCTAATCAAAAATGATTTGGTCACTTTTGAATCTAAATTGCTGTCGGCGATTGGTGTAATTAGACTGCTCCGCTGATCTTCAGGGCTATTAGTACACCCTTTATAAATTAGCGCCCGCCTTCATTTTTTAAAGAAAATACACCTTTTATAATTTTTACTGATTTTGTTGCTTCGTTTAGGATCAAAGTGTTTTACATATATTCAGTGGTAACAGTTTAGTTGACTGTTTTTTGGTAGTTATAATCGCCAGATTTATTTAAAATTACTTGCATGTTTTTTTTTAAACTCAAAGTACATACGAAATTAACAAAGATAAGTGGATTTCATCAAACAGATGAAGCTATTTTTAACTACTAAGTATGAGTAGAGCATCAATGTGGAAAACTTAAAACGTAGGTGTTGAGGAGCTCTACGTAAATAAAGCACTTTCCGATTGAGTACCGTTAAAAAGAAAAAAACAAAGTAATCACAGCGACCAATCATAAGAAAAGGAAACACCTGTAAGAGCCAATAAGAATCGAAAAGACCTGTAAGAGCCAATAAGAATCGAAAGTAAAATCAAGTAAACTGCCTGAAGCGCGGGAAAACATGGGCAACCAAGTCGAGGTTGGTGTTAGTTTTGCACCTGATTGGTTGAGATATTGGCGCGAGTTTTTTTTTGACCAGTCACAGAGCGAAGTAAGGTAAACCAATGCAATTTCGGATTACTTTTGACGCTTAATTGAAAAGTGCTCTAAGTTTGTATCTCATTGATTGACGCGAAGGTGCAAGTTTTCTTAATCAATCAAAGAGCGAGGTGAGCAAACCGATGTAATCCTGCGAAATTTAGATCGCCCATTTCAAAATTGCCCTTAACTACGGATGAAGAACATCAACGGCTCAAACTCTTCGTTTATAAAACGTATCATAAGTAATGGATGTTTGTGGTTGTGATTCTGTGGAAACAGCCACTAGGCTACAGACAGTACAATTCAACTGTGTTCGTCAAAAAGTAACGACAGCAGTTTGGCTCTGTTTAAATTAACCACTTTTTTTTCAAATGCGCTTAGTTGGAACAAGTTTTACTACCATTTTATCAAGTTTTGTTTTTTCCTCATGAACATTTCTTAAAGTGTATCTAAAGTGTATCTAAAGCACTGAAAAATTGCAACTATCAATTGAAGCCGTTAAAGGTCATTGCCACGATTGATTCAGCGATGGAGGAGGTTGGACGAGGATGATTAAAGCACACACTAGCTAACTGCTTTCTACCCTATGAGCTAAATTAAGAAATACGGAATTTTCTTTGACGCTACGCGGTTCTACAGACAACTGATCGTTTCATTTCATTCTTGCTGTGTAGATATTGATAGTGTTGCGTCTAAAATGAATCTTAACACAAACCTAACTATCTATTTCTAAAAATAAAAGATGTCAACAAAGTAGAAGGCTAAATCAGGATGCTGTGGGTGGTCAAGTGTGAGCACACGCCAAAGATATGTTTCATTTCAATCCCTTTTATGCACCGAACCAAAGAACACACAGAGTCGACCTGAGAATTGAACAGCATTTTTGACTTAAGGGGGGAGTTTGGTTTAATGCATTTTGATTGAAACAGGACTCCACTGGCATGTGATCTTAAGAAGGGAAACGTAAAGAAGTTTCTAGGATATTTAGAATATTTGAGAAAGGAAAATGGAGAAAGACAATGCTGAAAGTAGATACTGAAAAAAGTGAAAGGTGATCAAGATCTTAACCTTCCAACTCCAATGAGTGACCAAGACAGAATTTCTCCTTACAATATCATTGCAACATCAAGTAGACAAGTGATGAGAATAAAGAAAAATATCGCAAGGGGATTATTGTTTGATCCAAGACCAAATTCTCCAAACTAACAGCACGAAAATTGTATGGCAGACATTATGGAGAATTACGATTGAGATCTGGAAGTTTAAGGGTTAAATTAAATAGACTAGGAACAGTCAAAACAAAGTCTATTCAACTTACATCCTTTGTTATATTTTCAGCAACATTTGTCACTCTTCCTCTGTGGGTTTTTATTTCTCTGAAGTAAAATCTCCAAACACACTTAGAGTGAATCTAATTTCTCATATTTGTAGGTTGAACTTGAAATAAAACTTGACGAAATGGTCGTTTGAAAAAAAGAAGGGATTTTTATTGATAGAAAAAATACCATACATTCACAGACTTGTTGATAACGTACAGTATCCAATGGAGAGAGAAACTTCCTTGGTATTTAATTACAAAAGATAAAATAAAGAAGCAAAGTTAATGAAAACCACCCATGGACGAATTTTTTGAAGCTGCTGAACATATGTTGGAACCATTGGTAGAACTTGCCAGACTTCCCTTTCAAGAATTGTTGACTCTGAAATGCTTCAGTACTTCGTCCAAAATTAACGAATAACACGAAATGGTTTGGATATTGTAACATTTCTTACGCTCGTAAAGGACACAAAGATAGAACATGCGCGCGCACAGGTAGTCTCGGTTGTCCGATTAAATACAACGTTAGGCTATAGGCCTGAAATAGTATTGAAGATTTCGAATGTTTGAGCTTTAGAAGAACCCACCTGGAACGATAGGATCGTATTTTTACTCTTTATGTTACCACATAACTGCATAAACCTAGATATCTTGGTCACGAACAGATTCACGTGTGCTTTAGGGTAGAACTTATGTAACGGTCACGAGATATCACGGGAAGTCGTATAACTTTCCTTAGTCATGCACAGCTATAAGTTAATAAAAAGCTTACAACGCTATCTACTAACAAAAACAGAAGGAGAACAAAACGAAATCAACTAGTAAGCCATGTGGCTCAAAGTAGTGGTGGTATTTTGTCATTGTATCACACAAAATCAAAATTTTCCCTTTATATGATATAACTGAGTGCTATACCACTTACTTCTCCATCGTGTAACTTTCTTCTGAACTCATCTTAGACAATATTTTGACTAGCCTTTTATTTTTAAATCTTCCGCGACTCAGATAAGAATGATTTCCCAGCAACGACGACGTCGAAAACAATTTTCTTTATCATGAAAAATCATTCTTCAACAGCTTGCTTAAACCTATTGACAAAACTGAAGATTTTTAATGAAAGCTTAATGACTTCAAAAGAACAGCCATACTTGGAATAACATGAACATCTGATAAAGTCATTTTGCCCGTTTTGAAGCCAATCTTTCAGTACCTAAAGCTTGATGATATCCCCTCCCTCTGTTCTCCACACTTTGCTGGCTGTTTTCCAGCAGCGGCGGCAACGGAGAGGGGACTCCCTAAATTGGCCTTCACACTTTGAACTCCTCCATCAGTATTTATATTATCCATACTATTCCTTATACGTTACCCAGGGCGCGGAAAAGGTTACTTTGTAATTTCTTTCTTAGTTGGCGATAATTTCCTTAATTCTCGTGATCTAAATGTTTGATTCAGTGATAAATTAGATGCTTCTCATTCTCCGGGACTTAAGTGTTGATGGGTTTTGCCGCCTTGAGTTTTAGATACGATTTAGCCATTTTTTTTGTTTTGAAAAGGTTATCTTTAAGGACCGAAAGCGTCCAAGAAAGTTTGAGTGGTGACAATGTGCGCTTTACTTTCGTGTTCCTAACAGTTCTTTTCTACAGCGAACTCTTATTGTTCTGTCTGATGTTAGATGTGGATCTACGAGGTCAATCTACACATTTTGCCTTAAACCGTCCTTTCTCGGGGCTGAATGATATCACGCTATACCTTTTTAAAGGCTTAGCGAGACACACTAACTACCTATCCTTCCCCACCTCTAAGTTGAAAGATTCCCATCAGGTGGCCAGGTTCAACATTGACCCGAGAAGCCGTTAGTATGCATGAGCTTTGGTTATGCAAATTGCATCGTAGGAAAAGAATAGCTTCTTGTATCATGATAAGTTACGAAATGAAAATGTTTTGGCCTTGAGCCTGTTGAGCTCCATGCAGGGTGTAGTCTGGACAACATAAGTAAAAACTAGCAAAAATACAAGATACGTAGCAGGGAAGTCCTTGCCTAAGGACTGTTGAAGCGTCCATTGTATGGCGAAGTTGAGAGAATACAGATTAGGAATATATTCTTTCGAAAGTGATTGCAACTCTTGTGGTGTTGCTGTTCTCCATGTCGACGAGAAGCTGTACTGTAACAGTTAAAAAATT